ATCTCAAAAACTAGAAAAGAAAGGGCCTGAAATTTCCCTTTCCCTACCATAAAAGTGATTCAGCATCCGTAATATGGGACAGATGCACATAGAAGACTGAATATTGGCAAGTTAAAATATTAATATTTGCGCACACACTAGTTAAATAATTAAAATCTTCACATTGCAAACAAAAAAAGGAAGAAAAAATTGTGATAATTTGTCAATAGTGTATATTTGTATTGTTTTCTCATTTTGTTTTATGCTGGATTGAAAAAAAATTTGAATTTTTTTTACACAAAACAAAAATATCACCAATTAGCTTATTTCAAATTGATCAAAATTCTGGAGTATTCAGATGGTACTCTTAATTATTAATACTGATCCAATAATTTGATTAAATATTTGCTAAACCTACAGCCCTGAAGGAATCTTTGAATTCAGGTTAAGTTTACAGTGTTGTTAGAGATATTAAAAGGAGTTTTGAATACCCTTTTTTTCCCGATTTTAAATGTAAAACATGCATTATCAGACTCTTCTAGGGCAGTGTGCTTGCTTACAAAGTTGTTATTGGGTTGGGGTTGGATGTAGAGAAAAAAAATGTCTAGAATAATAGTTGATGTATGAAGCAAACATTTCAATTTACTACCAAATTTATATATTGGAATAAGCTTTATGAAAATGAAAGTGAAAATGTTAAGTGAAATAGTACTTATGCAAATAAAAACATAATGTCTTTACCTGTGCTCAGCACAAAGTTTTATCTAGTAGTTGAGACCTATCATAGTTCACCTATGACTGGGTGGCATTTAATGATCTCTCTCTGTGTGTGTGTGTGTGTGTGTGTGTGTGTGTGTGTGTGTGTGTGTGTGCAAATTCTCACTTTGTTGAAAATCATGGATCAGATATACTTAGGATTATGATGCATTTCTAAGCCTACAGTTCATTTTGTAATGTATTTGTATGTGCTCTTATCCCCTATACTATACTGTGTGTGTTTTAGATCATATAATATAAAAGCTGTTTCAGGACACTCCTGGGCATAATTAAACTTTTGCAATTAAGACCTGACATCTCTTTGAAAGATCACAACAAAGCCAAAGCAGTAGGTCAGCAGTGGTCATCCAAAGCTAGATCTTTTACATGAAACCTGTAACTCGACATGTTAACCTGTCAAGTAGCACAGTTTCCCCATTCACACATTTCAAGTAAAGTGCTCCACTTCTCATCATTCCCTCCTTCCTCCTCTCAGGGCTGTGGGTAAAACATGTCTGCTAATCAGCTACACTACCAATGCCTTCCCCGGAGAGTACATCCCCACGGTGTAAGTATCACACACACAAAATCCCCCACTGGCCAGCTGAGGTAGGGGTGTCAAATTGACATGTGGCAGTTAATCTTGAACATTAAGTTGCATATTACAGAAGAAAAAAGTTTTGTACGTTTTTGCATAGTTTCAAAAACATTATCCACCTCTCATTCTCTGCAGCTTTGACAATTACTCTGCCAATGTGATGGTTGATGGGAAACCAGTGAACCTGGGACTGTGGGATACAGCAGGACAGGAGGATTATGACAGGCTCAGGCCACTGTCCTACCCGCAGACAGTATGTATACAGGCATATATTACATGTGTTTATCCACTGTCTTGCATAGTTTGGTGTAGCCAGACAATGTTCACTTACCCAGCACCGATTTGGAGTTATTCACTGGCCTCTAATACTCAAGACAGGGTCTGTGCATTCTGCAGAGTAGAGCCTTGTATCCACAGTACCTATACACTGTCTGGAGGACGGCTGGAGGAAGTGAAAAGCAGCTCTTGCTTTTGAAAAGCAGCTCTTGTTTGCCCTCTTTGTCTTCGCAGTCAAGTTGGCCTCTGTGCCAATGACTCGATTAATGGGAGTCACTTTGTTTACCCAACAGGACCAGCCTGTGTTTGTGTTTATTTGTGAATCCTCACATCTGCATTAGTCAGTCTTATGTTCAAAATGTTCATCCTCAACTGTTATGGTTAATTAGTTCTTACAGTAAGTTTGGGTTATTATTTTCAAAGTTGGAACACAGACGCCTGCACAGCGATAGTGAAGTTCTTAATGTCGTAGTGATTTGTGTCTGTTTTGTCCTCCTCAGGACGTGTTCCTGATTTGCTTTTCACTCGTCAGTCCAGCCTCCTTTGAAAACGTCCGTGCCAAGGTCAGTACAGCATGCTCTTTAATATTAACTTAACTGTTGTCCATGAAATGCCATTCTCAGATCAGCTTGGCTGGGTAATTGTGTTAGTGTGATACATAGCCTGATGATGGTGTGCATTTTTGACACAATTCTAAGTCTAGCTAAAGAAATATGCTTAATTTTAGGATTTTTTTTTTGTCACAATGGTTTCCAAAAAACTATTAAAAAAAATGTTTTAAAAGCAAAATGTAAGTTTTAGTTCAAATGCAGCTCTTTGATGCAATGATCACACTTCTTAAAGGTAACACTGTTTGAAACTGGAAACTGTGAAAGAAATCTGTTGTTTTAAACAATGCACTTGCATTCAGTATCGTCTTTTTATTTAATAATAATGCATGCCAACACTTCTGTCCTCACCCTGCAGTGGTACCCTGAGGTGAGGCACCATTGCCCCAACACACCTATAATCCTGGTGGGAACCAAGCTGGATCTAAGAGACGACAAGGACACCATTGAGAAGCTGAAGGAGAAGAAACTCTCTCCTATTATCTACCCGCAAGGGTTGGCCATGGCTAAAGAAATAAGTCAGTTGTAGCTCCACACTTTGACAAATGCTTCCTTTTTAAAAAAAAATAATAATAATAATAATAATTTATTGACTATTATTTTAGAGGATGAGGATGCTAGAAGGCAAACTCTGCAAGGGACTATTTTAAATTTGGCAGATTCCTGTTAACTTGGCTGCAGACTGACAGCAGCAGCGACTGGCGTCTGTTTGTTGCTCGTTTGTTGATTCATTGTTGGCATTTCAGGAATATTTATTGACATTTTACACTTGTTACAGTATTTAAGTAGTGACTTTTCTCCTATAATTGTTTTTGCTGCTTTAGAAACAGCATTTTGTTTCATTTTCTTTTTGATGATATTTTTCTCATTTTAATAATAATAAGAAGAAGAAAAATAAAAACACTTATTAATTAGCATCTGGACAGGTGTGCCTAATTAAGTGGCTGGCGAGTATATTGTGTCTATTTATAGTCACATAGTAGTTATTTGGAAGAGACCATCTCCTACCTTCCAGATGGAGCCTCAGAAACTAAGCGTTTAGAAATCTGATAAAACTGCGCACAATTTGTTTTAAACTTATAATTCATTATGGCAATTAAAATATTTAACATTTCTATTGCTGAGTTGTTTTTTTCATCATTGATTATTTGTAATTGTTTTTATCCATTTCTTTCTTTTCTATTTAGAAACCTCTGCTGCCTTTTGCTGCCTAAAGTGTAGAAGGATCTTAAAATATGTTTTGACTAAAAAAACGAGACTGTTCTTCTTTCCCCTTTTTGTTGACCAGGTGCAGTGAAATACTTGGAGTGCTCAGCTTTGACCCAGCGTGGCCTTAAAACGGTGTTTGATGAAGCCATCAGGGCAGTTCTGTGCCCACCACCTGTCAAGAGAAGGAGGAGGAAGTGCAGCGTGTTGTAACGGGGAGCAGCAAATACAGTCGAAATCAGAACTCGCCTACTTGGAGGGAAGAAGACGGCTGGGTTATTTTCACCCTGTGTCCTTGCTTACATAGAAGCTTTAGTAGATCATCTGAAAGAACTTTACAGATTTAAGGGGTGCAGAAGAGTTTCTGTCAGATCTTTTCTCTGGGTTTGCATCTGTTTAGTCCTTTCAGATGGATGGGAAAGAAGTGATTTTTTGCTAAGGCCTCGGGGAACAGGAGGGCAGGGGATGTAATTGTTGAGCTGGGGAGAGAGGGAGGATTTTACTAAAAGAAAAACAAAAGTCGTCGGTTTTCTCAGACATTGTGAAGAAACACTACCTGAAGGTGAATTTCTCGTGACACTACCGTAGATTTAACACTAAAAGAAGGAAGTTCTGCACGGCACTCTATCCCCTACACACTAAGAGATTCCTGTTGCCTTGATTAAAATTTTAGTTTTAAGAGGTAAAAAGATTTTTTTTTTTTATTTTTTTTTTTTTCCTCCATTGGACCATTTTTGTTTACACGTGTCATCCAACTAGAGGTGCTGCGAAAACTCAGCCATCTCTTGCTAGTCCCTCTGTGAACACTTTAATACTGTTTTTACCTGCACAACGTGTCGTCATGCAGTTGTGAAGAAAACCTTTAAACCCTAAAATGACTGCAATAAATTTTTGAAGCTCCTGCTCAGAATGATTGCAAGAGTGCAGTGATCAAACATTAAAGAGACGGTGTCTGGTTAATATTTTTAACATTTAGTTGTCTTGTTCCTCAATGTTTTTTTCCTAAATGTATCCATTGGTCTTGTCTCATCATATGTGAGCACAGTATTTTATGAATGACGGTCAGACATGTGAAGGTGTCTGTGCAGCAGGTCTTGTTTTGCTCTCCTTTATTTTTCCTTTAAAGTTGGGCCCTAGCTTTCACCAAATTTTACCCAGACGATGCTTCTTGCTAGTATGTGATACCCACTGTGTCATAGCCATCATGGAAGTGTGTAACATTTCATTTTGAACCCATCTATTACTGTCTGTTATGAAGCCAGTGAAGTAATTTTTGAAGGTCAGAGCTGATTTGAATGCATTTTGTTTTACAATTAAACTTCAGTAACAGAAAAGTTATTATTTTGAAATGATCAAGTTGTGCGATTGCGCCAGGGAACTCAACATTTTATCAGCGTTTCATTGGCACAGAGGAAGTTGGATTTAATTTCTTAATAAATGTGGTTTCATTTTCACATTGTAATTTGCTGTGATTTCTTTTTCTTTTTTTTTCTTCCTTTTTTTTTTTTTTTAAGCAAATTTGTTAAACTCTGTTTTTACATTTTATATGATGCCACAGACATTCTTTTGTCAAGGTAAAGGTTTAAAAATGTTACTATTTCCAATGAAATGCTTTGATTGGAGTAGTCCAAATTTTAAAAAGGGGGAAAATGCCCCATTAACACTCAGTTTTGCTTCTGTACTCCACCACAATGGAAGCGGTGTACAGAAGCAAAACTACAAAAAGAGTCTCAGAGCTTCCTGTAAATTAACAGACGACATGGAGCCGCTGGTCTGTCCATCTCTTGTAGCGCAGCAGCAGTTGTCAACTTTTTCTGTCCCCGCTTGGAACCAGAACATGGTTCATACCTCCCGACACTTTAATGATCAACAACATTAAATTAAAAACAAAACAAGGATCCAAATTTATTAGTGTCAGCCAACGTATTTTTTTTCATGCATAAATCATTTCCTTTCAACTTGGATTTACTCCAGATTTTTTCTTTCAACCAAGGTGGGAAAGTGTTACAAAAGTTTAAAAAAAACAGACATTTGAGTCTGCCTCAATTGTGGTCTATTATTTCCGAGTATTAGTGTACCATATTAAACAATGTGGTGAACACTATAACCACAGTAGAGGAACATCAGCATGTTAATCTCACAGCCTCACTTAACTCGTGCAGTTGTAGATTTGTTCAGGTTCCTCGATATTACTTAAGTCAGTTATCTGCTTTCTTCCCTACCCTGACTTTGTGATTCATCGGCTAACAGCTAAACTTAATATTAAAATAAGCTCTGAGGAAAGGCCAGACATATTTCTTTTGCTCCTTGATAATTGTTCTTCTATGGCTTTATTCTTGGTCATTTGTGTGATGTGTAAAGGTTAAAAGTACATGGCCGCTTCACAGTTTGTAGGCTTTGGCTTTCCACTGCTCGTATACCAGGTTAGCAGCCACTGCATCTTCAACTCCCATTCCTGTTATTAAAAAAACAAAGACATTTTCAAAGCATTAAATTTCTTAATGAGATGAAAACATGAAGTAGAGGCCAGATTGTGTGGCTTTAAAGAGTGAGACTTACCAAGGGACTTAAACACGGTGGTCTTCTCTCTGTAAGCAGGTTTGATCCCATTAATAACATCTCCGAGCTCTGCAAACACCTCAACCTGCAAACGGCACAAACGCTGTAATATTCTTCCTCACATAAGATGCCAGTGACACACACACTGACCTGTAAGCATAACAGGAGATGACACACTGACCCCAGAGAGGATGACATCACCGGACTCTGCCATTGCTCCCTCCCTGCTGTCAGCATACACCACAGCCTCCTTCATCAATGAGTCATCCAGTTCCCGCCAATCTGGCCTGCAAGCTCCCACCGCTGGTTAGAGGAAAAGTAGAGAAACTGTTTTTCTTTTTAAAATTATTTTCTGTAGTAACCGGTAAAAAAACGCTCCATCTGTTTCCTCAGTTTTGCATAACCATCAATGTAAAAAAAAATCTCCCCCACTTCCCTTAAAATATTTTGTGGGTGAATTACTTCTCACCTGCCACATGGGCCCCTGGTTTGACCCACCGGCCACACAGCACTGGCTCTATAGACCTGGTTACTGTTACTATTACATCCGCTCCCCTCACTGCTTCCTCCACTGAACCACACACCGTCACGGGACCGCCAACTGAGCGGCGAAACTTCTCCGCTCCCTCCCTTCTGTGGTTCCACACCCGCACCTGAAATGAAGTTTCAGGGGAAGCGAAACAACCAACAAATCTTTGATTAGTTGGTGCAGTTAATGCATTAATATAGCTGTGATCAGTAACTGAGTAAATACTAAATGCAGTTTTTAAGTAATTTAATTTATTAAGGGATAAAAAATATCCAAACCTACCTGGCCCTGTGTGAAAATGTAATTGTCCCCTTGTTTGCAGATTTAAACCATGCTGGAGCATGAATGGCCTGTTTAAGGTCCTGTCAAAACATCTCAATCTGATTTAAGTCTGGTCTTTGACTAGGCCACTCCCAAAGCTTAATTTTCTGTTTATTGAGCCAATCAGAGGTGGACTAGCTGGTGTGTTTCAGATCATTGTCCTGCTGCAGAGCTCAGGGCATGAACTGATAACTGGACATCCTCCTTCAGGATTTTCTGCTAAAGCAGAACATCCTGGAATCATCAAGGAAACCAGGTGCTGATGCAGCAAAGCCTCCTCAGATCATCACATTAACATCACCATGTTTGACTGTTGGTTTGATGTTCTTTTTATGAAATGCTTTGAGTTTTATGGCAAGGTTTGAGTCCCATTACATGTGACTAATGGGAGTTCAGCTTTTCTCTCGTCAGTGCACAGAATATTTTCCCAGGTGTCTTGGGAATCATCAAGATGTTTTTGGCAAATGTGAGACGAGCCTTTCTTTTCTTTTTGGTCAGCAGTGGTTTTCATGTTGGATCTCTCCCATAGATGCTATTTTTGCCCAGTCTCTTTCTTAATGTGGAATCATGAACTCTGACCTTAACTGAGACAAGTGAACCCAGCAGTTCTTTAAATGCTGTTCTGGGCTCTTCTGTGACCTCCTGCATGAGTCTTCAAAGTGCTTTTGAAGTAATTTGGTAGGCCGGCCACTCCAGGAAAGGAAATTTTCTCCATTTCTGCATAATGGCTCTCACTGTGGCTCACTAGAGTCCCAATTTTGGTGCTTCTTAGAAATAGTTTTACAACCCTTTCCAGACTCATAGATGTCACTGATCTTGTTTCTCAGCTGTTGTGTTACTTTTTAAAATCTTTTAAGCCTGCTTCAGTTTGTCACAGAAGTTCTGTGTAAGTGATTTCTTTATTCAGCAGTAGGGATGGGTACCGGTATCTGGTTCTGACATAAACGGTAGTAACCAGACCAAAAAGCAGCGCACATTTCGGTACTCTGAATGGGACATTTTGGACCAACATTTTACACAGCACTCTCTACCACTATAATAGAAAACACCACATAAGGAAATATCTTCTGGAGGAATGGTACTTATCTCTAAAGAACAGCTCCAAATACCTGGAGAATTAATACTAAAGAGCATTAAGAGTGTTCTGGTGGCACACGTCAAAAGACTATTGGTTTTTCCTTTAACATGAATGTATGGGTCATTCATACAATGTTCAGGTACTGCTGCTACTGTTACTGGTCAGTAGGGCTGCCAGAAACGATTATTTTGATAGTCGACTAGTCACTGATTATTTTTGCGATTAGTCGACTAATCAGATCATGCATCTATTGGACATAAAACGTACAGCTTATTGCACCAGCAGCATCTGCTCTTATATAACTATCATTAGCTTACAGCTTTAAGTGTTTAAGGTACGTGCTAACTAAAAATAAAGACAAGATGATAGTTTATTAAATTTGAATGAAATTTGCAGATTGTCTCGGTGAAATTTAATAAACTCCTTGCTATCTAAAATATAACAGGACACCGGAGTATATTCTCCAGCATCTCACACTTCTGATAATCAGCTGTCTGCTTGATGTTTATTCAGCTGTGTAAAAAATATAACTTTAATCTCAGCCAAACCGATTTACTCAGGAACAAATAAAATACAAAAAAAGCCAAACAATAATATTTTTAAGTTATCTAAGTGACTCATATATGTTTAACCTGAGTAGCGAAAGACGGCGGTGGGTTTGAAAACGATTTGCCGGGAGTCCGGTGTTCTCACGGCTCTAGTGAGCCTTGCCCCCGGCTAGCTATCGAGCTAGCGGGTAGCAGACGTCTCCGAAAACGTCGGAGCGCTTTTGAAAATATGTGGTGTCTTGATAAACTGAGCAGATATTTGAGGTTTACACAGCTACATTCTCGCCTGAAAATATGTTAAACGTTTATGTTGTGACCCAGAATGAATAATAAGAGTAATATTAAAACTAAGTAGCTACCGCCATTGTTGGAAACTGAGCTGGGCTGTGCTATGAATTCTGGGACAGAGCTACTTCTTCTTCTTCGGGGTTTAACGGCAGCTGGCATCCTTGTACATGCAGTGCTGCCATCTTCTGTTTCAGTCCGTTATTACACTCTTAAATCCTGCTACTTATTCCTGCGTCTTTTGTGATCTTACAAAGCTTCAAACGACATGTGGACTATTAAATCAGTCGTCGACGATTTTAATAGTCGACATAATCGTGACTAGTCGACTAATCGTGGCAGCCCTACTGGTCAGAGATCATTTTAAATACCGACATCTGGCAAAATATAGAACACATTTTTATCACTTTCTCACCGACACTGCTAGCAGGTCGGCAGCAGGGACTGCTCAAAGGAATGCTTTGTGCACATGCTTACTACTGTCCCTCTCTGTCAGCCCCACGAAGCTCAGCAAGCTGTGCTGTCACACATTTTGCACATTTAATAAGAGCCGACATCCTTCAGGTAACTCACAGTATGTTCAGTTTTGTGCAAAAGTCTGGGGTCCCTTATGTTGCACAGATTTCTTTAAATGAAAAAATAAATAAATGAAAACCCCTGCAGCAAACAAGCCTCTTAGTGGGGCAGACGTTGCACTTGCTTCTTATTCTTTAATAAATATGTAATAGTATGCTGTACTTAACGTATCATGTTCTCTAAAATAAATATATTTTTTGGAAGCATACCTCTTTAAATGAAAGCATTTCAGTGAAGGCTTTATAGTGACTCAGGGCTTGTTGGCCGGTCCCCAAGATGGCCAGAACCTCGGCTCCATGGCGCATCAGCAGCTGCATGACACACCAGGGCAGACCCAGAAGTTCAGAGCTACAGCAGGATTTCCAGAATAGAAAAGGCATGCTGTGAATAAATCGAGAGCGGAAGTACCTTAGCCGAGATTGCTGAAGCTCCAGCAGTACGCATGTTAGTGATTGCCTCTCCATCCATGACCTGCGGGTTGGAAGCATGAGACTGCAGCTCATAAAACCAAAGCCATCAGAAAGACAGGTGCATGCGGGGATTGAACTCACAGCTTTCATATGCCCGGACTCGGGATCCAGCAGCAACACTGTGGCTGACACTGATGGCAAAGTGGAGCCAGCCCCCCTGTTGTAGAAGCACACTAACTTTGTGGACAGGACTCCGTCATTCTCCATGTATGTAGGCATCAGCCCCAGAAACCTAGAAACGAGAGCGAGTTTCAACCAGCAGTAGCTGCACCCTGTTAATGGTTGATTTGTGCTGAAGCACTCTTGAAGCAGACGGAGGGCCTTACCCGTTGTGTTTCTGCAGGGGCACCGTGGAGCGCACAGGCTGGATAACCTCCGCGCTGTCCCGGCTGGAGAACTTACCTAAAGCCTCCTCCAGACGGGGGATCAGCTCTTTGTAATGCAACAGGCTCTCAACTTCACGCTCCCATATGATAACAGGAGGAGCCCCAGCCATGGCTGCTGCTTCTGAGACGCTGATGCGGAACTGACTTAACTGGTTTGGTACAAAATTTGAGTCAACATCGAGCGGGATTTGAGCTGCGTTCAAGAGCCGCAGTAAAGCTTTTTTAAACATGTTGCGCGGAGAGAGGCGGGACGCACAGAGGAGGCTGTATAATCCACTGCGCTTTCCAAGCGCCAGGCTCCCGTAGTCTGTGATTTGGCACCAGTTTAAGGGGAGAAAGTATTCAAACAAGCCAATCTCAGGTTGATACCCACTTAATCCGTGTTTAAGTGTTGCAGTTTCTACGCAAACGATTGTGAAACAATGTCCTGTCTTCACATTATAACCAGTAACCGGGCCAGCTAGATGCTGCTTTCACGCCCCCTAGAAGGTTTGTAAGTCCTTTGACTTCCACAGTTGTTAGTATTTGTATGACTGTAGAAATTCGGAATTATGAATTCATTACTTTTAATTGACAATTTACATCCGTGCTTTTGAGAACGTTTCCCGACTGATTATTTATCCTGATGCAAAAAAAGGAAACAAATTGTAATTAACATTTTGATGTAGTGATCAGTGTAAGAACGTGTTTTATACAGTACTGTACAAAGGTTTTGAGCCAGAAAAAATTGGAAAGAGGTGATCGATTTATCAAAACACATGCAAAAACAAACGGAATTACAGCATATACAGCAAAAACAGTTTGTTGGGTCAGTGTTTGGTATGACCACATTTATTCTTTCAATTCTCTTAGGATAGTTTGCCTGTCATTTCTTTAAGTAGTCTTTGAGAATAGTTGTCAAGGCTGCTTGACTTCTGCCATGCTGAAGACAGTTTGAACCAAACATTTCAAAGCCATCACTAAATATGACCTGTTTGCCACTGATTTCCATCCCAGTGTTTCTGTAACCTGGTGTACCTCAGCCTTTTCTCCATGTTTCCTTCCACTGAGACCATTTCTGATAAGGCTTCAGTGAAGAATAGATGCATCTCTCAGGTCCTGGGTCAGGTCCCTCAAGGACATGATTTTTAGATAGTCCTCATCTGCTATTTTCTTTGACACACATCAGACCATGCAGAGATACGCCCCGTTTTCTGTTACTAACCATTTGGGAATCACTTTGTTTGAACTCATCTTGAAAAATTTTTTTTAATGAACACAAGACCAGGTTTTAAAAAATAACAAAAAGAATTATTTTATTAAGTGAGCAGGGCTACTACAAACTCCTGATGAGAAACATCGGTCCCAAAAAGCAAGAAACAAAACAAAAACACAATTAAACATGATTTTCCCCCCTCATGTTTAATCAAACAAAGGACAGCACTATTTAAAATGGGTTTTTTTTTTTCCCCTCAAGGAGTTTTTGTCAGTGAAAGAAAAATCACACAAGCAGTCTCTCAATGGCCATCTGAACAGACTGGATCTGTGGCTTGAGCTGAGACCCCTCTTTTATAGTGACTGAGGTAGCGATAACGGGGCGCGACACCCCACAGGCCCGGCCCAAAGCCTGCTTGGAGCGGACGAACACGTAGGGGACGTTCTTGTCCTCGCAGAGCAGCGGCAGGTGGAGGATGATCTCCAGTGGTTCCGCATCAGCAGCCATCACGATAAACTCAGCGATGCCTCTGTTCAGGGTTTTAGTGGCTGGGGAAGAAAGAGCAACTTGAATACAGCAAGTTTGTTCTTGGAAACAAAAAAACAAAACAATGCTCAGCATATTACAGGTTACACAAGAAAAAGTGCCCTTCATTACTGCTGCACCGTTATTCTTTTTGTGGCCCACAACAAAAATACAAGTGTCTGTTTAACACATTTTTCACAAGCACTTAGTAATTCATATAATAAAAGCACTCAACATTGGCTAATCATTAGCCTCCACAGGAAGACACAGCTACGGTGTAATTTAACAATTATCTGTGTAAACAATACTAAAAGTTATTTTTCTTCTCGCAGGCATTCCATTCATGCAGAAATCAGAGGCTTGTGACTAAAGCTTGTTGTTTAAAGTGAAGAGAAACCACGTTTCGAGCATGCTGGTGTCGCCTGTCCACTCAAATGCGTTCATTAACAACTTAAATATTAATTTGCACCGACCGTGTCGCACGGCACGTTGTGTTTACCCACCTTCGTTGGCTCCCTTCCTCAGTTGCTTATAGTTTGAGGCTTGCTGCACCAGATCCAGGATAGTTTTGGTCAGCGTGGCATCGGCCAGCGGGTAGGCCTTTGGGTTGACTTGTGCTTCAGTCTGCTCACCACACAGAAACAAAGTAACTCCATGTTAACCAAGAGAAACCAGTTAACGGGGAAAAAAAGTCACCAGCACCGTTTCTGGTCACTTCTACTGAATTCTGCACTTAATTTACTATGCTCGCTGGTAGCTAACTAGCTACTCTGTTAGCTTGTTCGTTCGAGAAGACACTCACCATGGTGTTTTTGTGCTATTCGGGCCCTCTCGGCGAAATGCTTCACGGAGGACTATTTTAATTCGACTGGCTTCTGAAAGATTAACGATACGATGCAAAATGCGATCTCCTGTGATGTATTTTACAGCGGTACCAACTCTCTAAGCTCCGTCGCATGCAACGAGTCCAAACGTTTGCCACACGTGTGGTGTGAGGCGCATGCGCACTGGCAAAGCTGGCGAAATCACAGGAAGTGCTTTGGGAGAAAAAAAACGTTGTTAATAAATTGAAAAATACAACGAAACAAGTCACTTTCATTTTTTTTTACCAAATAATAGACAACCTGGAAAGGGATTACATTTTTTTATTGAACAACAAATACCTTTTAAAATAAATACACGGAATTTTTTTTTCTTTTCCCTTCAGCTGCTCCCTTCAGTGCTCAGCACATCTGCCCTGTGCCAAAGTAGTTCAACCTGGCAACATTCTGTTCTTTCACAGCAACCCTCCGCATGTGCTTCTTCACTACATCCATGAACATCCTCTGTGGTTTTCATTTTATCCTCCTGCCTGGCAGCTCCACATTCAACATCCGTTTACATAATTTCTAGTCCAATGAAAAAAAATATTTAACACATAAAATTATTTTATTTTATTTTATTTTATTTTATTTTATTTTATTTTATTTTATTTTATTTTATTTTATTTTATTTTATTTTATCTCCAGGGCAGCAGAGGGCGCGCGGTCACTGACTAGGCACCGTTTACAAGCGAAGAAAGCGCTGAGCATTCTGGGTAGGGCACTTTGAAGCCAGCCATATTGCTTCATCGTCCTGACCCAAGGCAAGAGGGGAGATGAAGGGGATTCGGGGAATCAGTCAGTTATCGGTGAGGACTCGGGCAATGTGTCCTACGTGTCTGTGTGTCGGAACATTTTCACACCGAGCTGTGGGCTGTGTTTGTTAGACGGTGTCTAAATTCCGGGTCGTGTCCGGGCAGGCTTTGATGAAGAGCAGACGAGGAAGCAGTCAGCTAAGTCTGGTCATGAATGACTCCGAGCATAACCAGCAATAACCTGCTAGTTACATCACGAACCCTGCGGATTTTAAGTCATTGTACACCCAGCTTAATACTGTCTATTCAGTTAATTCAAGTAAGGCTTAGAGAAATCAAACTAGTTGGCGTCTGAGAGATGAGAGCTAGCTAGGTTCATGTTTATGAAGGACCTAGCCGTCGAGTTGCTTAACTTACATTTCCATTTTACTATCTAATGATGTCTTCCTCTTTCTAATCTGCAATATTGTGCAATTATTGCAGTTTGGATTTTGCAGTAAACATCTACACTTATGTGTGTTTACTGAGTGAGAACCTTTGCAGCCTGAAATGGTAGATTGTAGCTAGTTTTAAAAAGATAAGTTCTTACTTTTTCACATTTGTCGTTAAAGGCTTGTAATGTTGTTTGCCATCGTTCTGATGGAACACACCAAGAACCATATAGAGGTTGTTATTACATTTCAGAGTACATTACAATCTTACAAATCCTTGATACCTTCAAAGATAATTTGGAAGAATTAACCTGCAGATTAAAACCAGGTGATATGCTTAAACAAAATGCAGAACAGAGACTTAAGTGGGCCTTGTCATAAGATTATTTTTTCACCTGCATAATTCTAGCTTCATAGTTAGTCACAACATTCAGTTCTTTTAGTACAGACTGCCCCACTAATGCCATTGATCCCATTATTTTAAAGTTTGTGCTCATATCAGCCAAAAGGCCAGCAAAACATTAGTTGTAATGTCCTGCCTTCCTGTATTCTTTGTTTTTTTTTCCCCAGACAAGGTTTTATGCAGCCCAGGCTGCCCGTAAGGTGGAGGTCACTGGTTTTCATCCACAGGATGTTCAGGTCAGTGGTTGTTGACTTCTTTTTCTTCTCTGCAGAAACGCTTCTATGCGGCTGCCAGAAAAGACCAGTCCCTTGCTCAGCCCCTGGCTGGCCTCAGCCTCTCTCCCAGGGTTGGCCATTCCTACCAGGATGTCCACGTATGTCGGGCAGTGATGAAAATTGTAGTATATATTGGTTGTGTTTTAAGCTTTATCTGTTTGTTTCACCTTGCTGAATATAAATGTTAAGTAATCTAACTAAATGCCCGCATTATCTGAGCTGTATAAATGAAAGCCAAGGAAACCAGTTAACTGAATCACTGCCTATAACTCAGGGTACTAAGAATGCTAAAGGACATCTCTATATGTCTCCAGGTGACCAGGCTGCCCAGTGGGCTGGTTATCGCTTCACTGGAGAATTATTCTCCAGCCTCCAAAATTGGAGTCTTCATCAAGGCTGGGTGTCGCTATGAAACCCCTGAAAACCAGGGTGTCACCCACCTCCTCCGGCTGGCGTCCGGTCTGGTATGTAACTTAAAAAAAATCATCACATTTAGCTTGAAGTAACCATTGTCATCATCAACCTTGGTTCTTTGGTGTTGTTGAAAGACAGAAATGAGTAAAGCTGCAGAAGCACCAGAATACAAACCAAATCTTTATTCAGTTTTAGGTAAAAGTCTTATTTTGAGTAGAAATATAACAGTGTTTACATATTAAAAAGCCTGCACAACTGTTGTTAATAAATGGAGCTTAAGACCACTGCTTTTGTAATCATGTGTAACATTGCTGCATTTCAGTTGACATGTTACTTAACTTTTCTACCTTTTCAGACAACCAAGGGAGCTTCAGCTTTCAAGATATGCCGTGGAATTGAGGCAGTGGGAGGCAGTCTTAGGTCAATAACCAAAAGGTTTATCCTGTAAATAGTCATTTAATGCTGATTTTTTTTTAGGTGTCTAATTGTATATCTGTTTATTTCTGTGCAGCGTGACTTCATCCAGAGAGAATATGACCTACACCGTTGACT